CTGAATGCTCTTGTTTCACATAAAACTTGTATTAAATAAATGTGCATGCTTATCTCTTGTTATTCTGTCCTTTGTTATAGGGGCATCAGCCATGAATGTTGCAATGGGTGAGGAAAAGAAATGCTTCTTTCTTTTTTTTTTTGAGTTGGAGTCTCACTCCTTCGCCCAGGCTGGAGTGCAGTGGCCGCTCCTGGCCACCCCAGCATCGACCTGCTGGGCTCCAGCGATTCTTCTACCTCAGTCTTCCACGTAGCCAGAACTACAGACGTGAGCTACCAGACCTAGGGCTATTTTTTTTTTTGAGCTGGAGTCTCACTCTGTCACCCAGACTGGAGTGCAGTGGCCGCTCCCGGCAACCACAGCCTTGACCTGCTGGGCTCCAGCCATCCTTCCGCCTCAGCTTTCCAAGTAGCTGGAACTACAGGTGCGCACTACCACACCCGGCTAATTGTTGATTTATTGTAGAGATGAGGTCTTGCCAAGTTGCCCAGGTGGGTCTTGAACCCGCGGGCTCAGGCAATTTGCTCACCTCAGCCTCCCAAAGTGCGTGATTACAGGCTGAGCCACCGAGCCCAGCTTTTTTTTTTTTTTAATTGTAGAGACAAGGTCTCGCCAAGTTGCCCAGGCGGGTCTCGAACCCGTGGGTTCAGGCAATCCACTCACCTCAGCCTCCCAAGGCGCGGTATTACAGGCTGAGCCACCGAACCTGGCTGTAGCAGGAAATTTTAAATAAGGATACTTTATTTTTAAAGTTGGAATTCTGGAATAAACGAGAGTGATGCCGGGACTTGTGGCCTGCTCAAGCCACACCACTCTCATCGTTGATGGACGACGAACCCCAGACTGGGGACTTCATGAAATCTGTGGTCCCTCCTCTCCTGACTCCTCACCCAGCAGCCTATTCCCTCAGGCCTCCGCGATGGCTAACCATTTTCCTATCCCTAAAAGGCGCAAAAATTGCTTTCCCACTGAGGAATCCTTTCCCCAAACTTCTAAAGGGGAAAAAAATCCCCCTGACTTAATCAACTGATACACAATTTCCTTTTCGTTTTCCCCATGATTAGTATTTAAGTCTGAAGCCTGAGACAGAACTCCCCAGCTAGTGGGAAAGGCAGTGACATCCAGGCACATGCGCAAGAGAACAGCCCTCGGAACGTGTTTAATTACAGGGAGCCCCTCACAGCGTGGAACTGGGACACGCAGATCTCGGAGAGCGATTTTCCATTTAGACTGCACGCCCTGGCTAATTAACAAGCCAAACGGGCCAGCAATCTGGACAAGGAGACAGCCAGCACCCCACGTGTTACAACACAGGTAAAGGTATGTGTGAGCCTCGACGACGGAAAGGGAGCCTGCAGGAACCAAATGTGAAAAACAGCCATTTACAGCAGTGGCCCTGACGGACGGGTAAGTGCCCGACTGGCGAATGACACGCTGCCCCCTCACTTCGAGGCTGCAACATGGAAACGCTCCGGCCATCTGCTGTGTCTGCAAGGTCCCCGATGCAGGCTCGTGGAAGGAAAATGCGTGTTTGGTTGCAGCTGGAACACACACATGCTCTCAGCTGATGTGTGTGTGCCCCGCGCTCTGCCAGGTTTTGAGGCTCGACCCTCAGTGACTGATGTTTTCCCCCAATTGTTCTATCGGATTCTCCGGGTTTTCCCAGGAACGGGTTGGGACAAGGGGTGCGGGACCTGGGAGGGAAGCAGGACACAGAATGGCCGCTGGCTTTCAAACGAGCTCAGTCCTACCCAGTTGTACTGGGACCATTGAAATGCCTTGCAGATGAAGAAAGGAGGTTCCAGCACCCTGATGGAGGTTTGTGCCAGCCATAAATCCCGCCTAGCTTCCTTCCATTTACAGTTTATTGCATTAACATTTCTTTTGTGCCCGGCTGCTGCTGGGAACCTATTGTAAATTTGGGCAATTACGACTTTTGTTCCATCTGTCCCTCCCCACCTCGGTACTGTAACATCAAAGGTGGCCCATTCAGTGGAGGCCAGCTCTGTCTCTTAAATCCAACCTGAAATACATGTTAGAAATCACCCGCTCTGAGTGAAAAGTAGTAGAATAACTCAGAAAGATGCCGCTCCGGCCTTCTGAGGAAGTCTTAAAATAATCTTTCTTAAACCTCCTGCACAATGCTCCCAAGTCAAAGCCTGGATAGGTATTTCAGTGTCTCCTGGTCCAAATCCCCCTTAAAGTCAATGTATGAGGCATTACTGAACCATGTCAAACAGGGAGTGTGGCCCTCAATACTGGGGTTTCCACCAGTCTGCCTTTGCTTGGGTCTCAGGGGTACTTAAAATAATCTCTCTTAAAGTGTCTGCATAAACCAGAGTGGGTCATGTAACCCCTGCTGTGGGGATGAGGTGGCCTGATATTACCCATCAAGCCGGGTCTGCTCCTAGCTCGAAGGCTTGATGGGTAATATCAGGCTGCTTCTACTCCTGGTAAGCTGTCACTTGTTACAGGAGCGAGAGGGTCTCAGGTGTGCTGTGATTCTAAGGGCAGAGGGACCCTGCGTTGGTCAATTCCATTCTCGACGATTTCCTGAGAACGTACTACATGCCTTAGTGCGTGATGAACTGCGGGGAATGCAAAGGTGAACAAAGATAATCCCTGTCTTAAGAAACAGAAAACCTAGTGGAGGAGACAGGTCTAATGATAATGAAGTGAAGTTGCTTCATAATTAGTTTCAAATTAGGCACAAAATGCTACTCATCCAAGTTGCTCAAAATGTTAAACAGTTACCATATGAACCCTAGGGATAGACCCAAGAAAAATGAACACATATGTCCAGCTAAACACCTGTATACAAATGTTCATAGCAGCATTATTCATGATAGCCAGAAAGTGGAAACAACCCAAATATCTACTGCTGGATGAATACACACAGAAAAAGTGGTATATTCCTATGATGGAACATTATTGGGCCATTAAAAGGAACAAAGTCCTGATACAGGCCACCGCATGGATAAACCTTGAAAACATTATGCCAAATCAAAGAAGACAGACACAAAAGTGCATAATTATATTATTTGCAACATTTGTTTCTTCGTTTTGTTTTTTTTTTGAGTTGGAGTCTCACTCTGTCACCCAGACTGGAGTGCAGTGGCACGCTCCCAGCCACTGCAGCCTCGACCTGCTGGGTTCCGGCGATCTTTCCGCCTCAGCCTTCCAAGTAGCTGGAACTACAGGCATGCGCTACCACACCCGGCTGATTTTTGATTTATTGTAGAGATGAGGTCTCACCAAGTTGCCCAGGCGGGTCTCGAACCCACGGGCTCAGGTCATCCCCTCACCTCAGCCTCCCAAAGCGCGGGATTACAGGTTGAGCCACTGAGCCCGGCTTGCACTTTCTTCAAATGAAAGAATAAATGAGCAAAGAAAAGAATTCACTGGATCTGTTGCTCACAGCCCTACACCTCTTGACTATGAAGGATGGACCCCGAGTTTCCACTTCTTGAAACTATGGATTCCATCTACAGAAACAGCATTCTACAAACGCAAGGACTTGGAACCCTGTGCAGCACGGTTTTCAGGATTCTAGAAACTGTCCTGTGTTTCCACTGCCCCTGAACTTGGTTTCATCTTCACATGGGTCGCTGTGTATTTATTTGTCCTTTAACGCTGTGAGCGATCTGGGGGCAGTGACTATGGGTTTTGTCACTAGATTCTAGAACCAGAAACACATAGAAGGGACCTACCAGGGACTGTGGAAGAAAGGAAGGAAACACTCTTTGCTTAGGAGAAGTTCATAGCCTAAATCTCAAGCATCCTCATTTCTCCATTTTCTTATCAGGTAGTGTGATTATACTAAAAACATTTTGGCAATCCAGTGTTGTTTTTTGCTTAAGGACAAAATTGGTCAAAAAGCAGCAATTCCATATGGCTCAGTGTAATACAAAGTCGTAAGAAAGGTCTTTTGGGTTCTATTTCATTCGTAAAATGATTTTTTTTTTTTTTTTTTTTGAGT